AATAATGCATTTTTAAACTCTGGAGCCTCTCCTTATAATTTTGCAACTTTGGAGAAGTTAATTAACCTCTCTCAGGCTCAGTTTTCTAATCTGTAAAATGAGAAAATTTGACAAATAACAAAAACCTTAAAAAATTATTGTCAATGTTCAACATATAAAAATGCTTAATACAATATCTAGCATATCATAAGCACTCAACAAATTATAGAGACATTTCATATAAATAAGCATGTTTCTTACATTAATATTTATCCTCACATAAATACATACATATATTTCATATATGTATACTTATTACTATACATACATATGTGTATGTGTATATATACATATACATATATGGTTTATATATTTTTAAGTTTCTGCAGTGTTAGGATTTCAGATATTGGGAAAGGGGAAAATGCTTGGTCATAATAGGGCTTTTTTGGTTTCTGCCTGTTACTGCTAACTAAACATTAAACTTTTATAGCATTTGAATTCAATTAGTACAACCTGCACAAGTAGGCACTGTCTCAGCATAATCCCTTTGCTTCACATAAAGCAGAAAGAAGTGTTTGCTTGAATATAAATCTAATATAAATTGCAGGAAATTCGGGTGTGCTTTCCTGTCTGAAATGGCTCTGCCATGCTTCCAGTTGCTACTCAGAGCACTGATGGGGATGCATGAATTGCCATCTATCAGGTTATTGTAGACAGCACCTCGCTCTCTAATCCCCAGCCACCTGATTTTTTTTTTTTTTTTATGTCTCTAGATTTTAATTGCAGAAAATAAAATGAGAAATGCCTGAAGCTTTAGTGTCCCTTTCCCTAGTGCACATAGATAACACATATCTAGGTTTTCCTCCAAAATTTCAACTTCCTACCCCCTCTCAAGTTGTTGATTATAGCTGTTTACTTATTATAAAACTAAAATAGAATTCACCAAAATTTACAAATTTAAACAATAAAGAGAAAGGAGAAGCAGTTGTACAACTAACATGAAACAGTGCTTAACATATTCTTTAAAAAATGCAAATGTATGTGAAAAGAAGGAAGGTTTTTCCGGTTGTTTTGATAGGGAACAAAATAATATCAGCAGCTGTCTTTTCAAAATCTGCCAAATGCATTTTCTGTGAAATGAGTGAAGTTTTCTGTGTGTTTGTACAACACAGGAAACTCCCCTACTTTTACATCTAACTTGGGGGTTTGACTGAATAAATGATTCCTTGTCTTTTGAATTCTTAATGAGGTTTGTATGATATGCAAATCAGAGGACACTAACCTTGTCCAGCTGCCCCGCATTGAGTCAGAAGCTGCATCAAGTTGCTAGCAGACTTCCTGGCAAGGGATCAGGGCCTTCCAACAGAATGGTAAGCTATAATACAGCTCATTTCACTCAGGTGTTTAAAGTGTTCTTGTGCATAGTTGTTTTTAAAATGTCCTGTGATCAATTTAGGCTTTAAGTAATGTTTCAACAAACTGTCCCTCATAAATAGATGCAAAACAGCCGAAGAAATGAAAAGTCATAACGTTTCCCTCTACATTTACTTTTTACCAAATTAAATGACTTGTTTTAATTGCCAAATACTAATTGCATTTTATTAAAAAGATTTATTACACTTGCTAATGTCTCAATAAGCTGTAATGCAGTCAAAGAGTTACTAGATTTATTTAAATAAAAATAACAATTTTGGGAAAAAATTGGAGTCTTAAATGATATGAAAATCTCTTTTGTCATATAGAATAATTCCATGTTTAAAAAATAATGTATTAGAGGGAATTTTGAGAGCATTCTAAGAATTAAATTTAGTATTTATGTTTGTAAATATGACAATGTTCAAGAACATAATTCAAAAGAAAATAGAAAATTCTAGAAGCATTGTTATCCTCTTTCAGAATTTTGATAATTTGTGATGTATTCTTAAATAAATTAGTATATATAATTTGATACTATACTACCTATCACTTCTTAATGACTTGATTTCTATTGTAATTTATGAAATATACAAAAAATGAACTATCACTATTAAATTATTTTAGGTTTTAAGGATGAATACATATTTTCATTGAAACTGTTTAATAACAAGAAACAATTAGCTAAAAAAAATCTCCTACTGTTGTGTGAATTTGCCTTAATGTAGCAATTAATAATAAAAATATTGTAAATTTGTTTAATTATGGTAATTAGAAGGAGAAGCAGTTTTAATAGCTAAGAATCTATCAAATATAGTTCATAAAATTATTTAAAATTTCAAAAATATAAATTCTTAAAATCCTAAATAAAAGTAAACATTATTCCAAATTAAAAATAAGGGTTACTAGGAAGGTTGGGTAATCCTACTTCCGTAGTGATACTGCCTCGGAAACCCAAGGAGGGGTCCCTATGAGTCGGGGCCGACTCGACGGCACATAACAACAACAACAACAAATATGTGTATGTGACTAAATTGGATATACTTTTTAGTCTTAAAATTCTAGGAGGTTTAAATATATTTTTGAACAGAGAACTAAAAATTTTACTAATATCTTAAAGAATTTATTGAAAGTAATCCTTCCCCCAACTCTACTCTACTTAAATTTCCTAAATTTAGGAACACAACCACTAGAAAAGAGAATATTAAAGTTTCATAAGGGAATTCCTCCTTCAGTTGGAATTTCTGACCAAAAAATAGCATCAGCTTACTTCTTTTTGGATTGTGATGACGACAGTAAAAACTCTGTGCAATTTGTACTCACATACCCTTAAAATTGTGGGTCCTGGAGAGGTTAAATTGATAAAGCTACCTCAATAAACCTACCATTTGTAAGCATTATGAACTTGGAAAAATTATTTTGACAATGAGGCTAATTTATCAAAGCAGTAAATTATAGAACATCACAAAGAGCCTGATGTAATTATTTTAAAAATAATTTCAAACAAATATTAAGGTCCAGGAGGGTATTCAAATATTACATGTGATCAGCTTATAATTTTTATTTCTTCTTTTTCAATATCTACATTTTCTGAGTGTTAGACAACTGACATTACATTTTGAATGTACATTTTTGTTTTTAAGAACAAAGCAACTAGTCTGTGAGAAATAGGACAAAGGTAATTTTTAGTCATTCATATTTCCTAAACGCAATGGTATTCTTTCTCCCCACCCTCAATATCCAACCCCCTTTGACTACTCACATGTGGGATTTTCCACAGCTGCTAGATGGCCCTTACCTTTCCTGAGTAGTTGTCATTGGTAATCTGCCGTCTAGTTACACATGTCTTCATGACTGTTTTCCTTCTGTGGCAGGCAAACCTTTCTGTTGCTGTGAGCCACATTAAACACTTTTAAGTTCTGACTAGGCAGAAAAATT